TCTGCTCTGGTGTGTGGTGTAGACGGGTCAATTTTCTCTGCGACGACCAAGCATGATCAATGCAGGGGAGTGTTGAGCTGGCATTGACCCTGCAGAAGATGGTCGTCGCCTTCTGCAGGGGAGCGAAATTCTACCGAAACAAACTCTGCAGTGGTTAGCGCGGAGGTCTGCAGCAGAGAGAAATCTACAGAAGCGGAAAGCAAGTTTCGCCGCAGAAGCAGGCGCATCTGCAGAAATTGGGTCTGCAGAAAAGGGCGCATCTGCAGAAGCGGATTTCTGCAAAAGAGCGCGTCCTCTACCGACGAACCACTCCGACGCGAAAACGCGATCGTTTCGGAACTTTTGCGTGGGAATTTCGGAACATTGCGGACATTGAGAAATTGACCCCCGGAAACAGTGCGTGAACTTGGGGTGTTCAATCTGGGGGCGAATTGAACCACCTGAGCAAACTGAACCTGGCGCACGTTTTCGTAACTACGAAAACGTGCGTTACAGAAGTTGTTTAAAACAACCTGAACAGTTAAAATAACTACTTTTAGGTAGGTAAAAATTACCAACTAAGCATGTGTTGTAATTTTCACCTGCCGATGCTGACTTGGCAAAGCGCAGCTAAGTAGTAGTTATCTAAACGTTCTGGTGAGAACGTTCTCTTGGTAGGTTCAGTGGTTGGGTAGTTCTTTACCCCTTGTATTCTATTTTTTATTCTATTCTAGTGAATTTTGTCAGAATGTGATGTTTGTCTAGCCTGCAGTGGGGTACTCTATAGCGAGTACAGCCCAAATTAGGGTTTGCTATATGTACTCAACTGCCCACTAGTGAAAACCCTCTTTCCTGTTTCTAGCTTGTGCCTGCTATTCCGACATGCTATCAGAGCAGGTCGACCCTCCCGGGTCGATCCTGTGGATGGGCCCACCGTTAGCTTCCGCTGCTGTCCTGCCTATCGCGCGCCTCGGGCGCGCTTCGTTTTCTGCCTGCCGCGCGCTCGGGGCGGGCGGCGTTTTTTCTTCCCGCCGTGCGCTCGGGGCGCGCGGCGGTTTTCTGCCCTGCCCGCCGCGCGCCCCGGGAGCGCACGACGGTTTCCTGCCCCGTCGACCCGCGCGTCGCCCCCCGTCGCCCGTCGCCGCGCCCCTGGAGACCCGCGCGTCGCCCCCCGTCGCCCGACGCGGCTCGCGCGACCTGCGTCAGGCCCGTACGCGGCCCGTACGGCCTGCGCCAGGCCTGCGCGCGGCTCGTACGGTCTGCGCCAGGCCCGCGCGCGGCCCGTACAGCCCGCGCGCGGTTCGTACGGTCTGCGCCAGGCCCGTGCGCGGCCCGTCCAGCTGCTGCCCGAGCCGCGCGCCGTCCCCCCAGCTGCTGCCCGCGCACCGCCCCCCGCTGCTGCCTGTGCTAGGGTTTGGTGATGGCGAGTGTGGGGGTGGCGAGTTTGGGGGTGACAGGTGTGTGCGCCGTCCCCTGCTCCTCCTCCTCCTCCGTCTCCCACTGCTGCAGCTGCCGCTGAGGGGGGTGGATGTGTTGGAGCCGTTGGAGTGATACGAGGGGGGTGGCATGTGAGCAGTGCTAGGGGTACAGCAGGGAGTGTGTGAAAGGGGTGTGGGACAGTTGGGGGAGGCTGACGGGAGGTAGCCGACTTGTCGTCCGCAGCGCCTGAAGTCCAGAGAGCCACGACCCCCTGTGGCCGTGTAGTCCGGGGCTCTGCGCCCGGTAGCCACAGTGTGAGCACTCCTGGTAGTCCAGAGAGCCACGACCCCCTGTGGCCGTGTAGTCCGGGGCTCTGCGCCCGGTAGCCACAGTGTGAGCACTCCTGGGAGCACAGAGAGCCAGCTGCGCCTGTCGCCGTGTAGTCCGGGGCTCTGCGCCTGGTAGCGTCAGTGCTGCGCACTCCTGTTGCCCGTGTGTCTGCAGCTTCAGCCGTCGCCTCCCATCTTCTCGCCCCCCACAGTTTCTCCTCCTCCTCACTTGCCCTCTGTGATAGCCTCTAGCTTTGCTTGTCCTTGTGAACTATTGCTCTGCCTGCTTGTTGTGTTGATTGTACCCCACTTTGACTATGGGGGTGTGTCAGAATGTGATGTTTGTCTAGCCTGCAGTGGGGTACTCTATAGCAAGTACAGCCCAAATTAGGGTTTGCTATATGTACTCAACTGCCTGCTAGTGAAAACCCTCTTTCCTGTTTCTAGCTTGTGCCTGCTATTCCGACAAATTTTCTGTGTGTGTGCCAAATCTATGCCGATTTCAACACTTAGCCAATTTTCTCCTTAGTGAACAACAAAGTTTGCGTGGCTGCAGAGAAGCATTTCGTAGAGCTCCAACTCCCGTTAGAGCAGAAATCTCTGCAGTATTAGTGGCACTAACTGCGACGCGTGTTCGAAGGCTGAATATGCACCATCGATAAGTAGTAATGCCAGGCTAAGATGGCTTATAAGAGAGCGCCAAGTGCCTTATCAAAGTGTTGCTGAATGGTTCTGCTCGTGACTCGTGCTGCGTTTCAAATTGGTCATGACGAGTAACCAGAATTCACCTCATTCAACAATGTGTGCACGAAGTGCGAATGTCAGGCTACGAACAAACGTCGTCACGTGAGCGAAATTACGCTTTCGGAGTGCGAATACGTTTGCAAATCCGTAATGGGTGAGGGAAGAGCACTAGCACTGGCGTTGTACCTTGCTCAAGGCACATGCTTGGGTGAACTGAAAACGACACATAGGCGAGCAAAGTCAAGTCCGTGTCACTGCTCGTTTCACGAGAAAGAATCGTCGTTTCGCGAACAGTGGGATGGTAACAGCTAGAGATGCAAATTGAACGTGACGGAGTGACATTCAAAACCACCTCCCGACTGGAACTGCTCCCCTTCAACTTGCTGTACGCGTTGTGGTGTGACTTGTTGTTGGCTTAGTAACGAGAGAATCGAAAACGTTGTACCAGGTTACACGTGCTAGTGAAAGCACTTGACTCAACCCCATGTGCCCACGCCTCCATCCTCTCGCACACCTCCACTTTCACGCCTCTCTTCCCCTTGCCTCACGCCTATCTCCTCGCGCCTCGGCATAAGGACCAGAGCTAGTAACGTCACTACTGCAGCAAGCACTCTTCACATGTCACCATGCTCACTGCATGCACGCGCCTGTAAAAGTCGGGACCCGACGCGATGCCCACCGCCATAGAGCTTCGCTGCACTCGCGAAAGCGGACGCCAGGGATTATCGTGAAAGCCGTGGGCGATGGGTGATTGGCGAGCTATTCCATCAATCCGTACGAAATGCGAAGCGACTCGTTTTGGCGGTGCGAACACGATCGAACGAAGACATCCACGACGGGATGGAGATGGGGAGGGGCAGTTGGTTCATCCATGCGGATGAAAAGAAGGGGAAGACGTATGAAAGAGCTGCTATGGGAATGACATGGAGTTGTACAATCGAACTGTTGACAGCTATATTGGAGGAGGAGAGGATTGGGAGGATGAGCGCGGGCATTATTGGAGCTGAGTGGGGTGATTGGAGAACTTAAAGATGGGGAGAGGAGACACGTAAGGAAAATGGGGGATGACGGGGAGGGAGAGTAGAAGGGACATGGGATGGATTGGACAGAACAGAGCAGGAGAGGGTGGTGAAGCACAAAGACAAAGGGGGAATGGAGGGGAATGGGGTGTTGAAAGAACTCAAGCGACACTTGTCATGAGCAGCCATGAGGGTGTCGGATCTGAGTGCTGCTCGACCCTCTCTCGCGGGTGGCAAGCACCAGAACATAGGCAAGTGCAAGTTGTCAAACCCAGTTCATCCCCTGAAAGAACCAGGGCCAAAACGGCCCAGATCAAACCTAGCCAGGCTCAACTCGGGCCAAAGCGGCCAAATTTGTGAAGGATAGAAGCACGTCCCGAGGCCAGGCATTGGTTCGCCGTTAAATTATCTGGGGGAACAACGGGACCTGAACCACCTGGGTCATTCAAAGCCATTACAGGGAGGTTGAGGGGCATTCTGAAGCTCCAACTTGAGATTGCTAATCGTTTCCACCCCTCTGCTGCTATAGCACCTTGCGGTCAGAAAAAGCTTCAGACCGGGCCGGTTAGGGTTCAGCCCGACCTGGTTCCATCCAGGCCAGTTTGGGTTCAGCCCATTCTCATGCGTACCTACCAATCAGGAAATGAGTCAAGGTTGGGAAGCTGGCTGTTGGGCTGCTGGGGGGAGGGGCGACGAGGGGAGAAGGGGGGTGACAGGGGGGTTGGGTGGAAGAGAGGGGTGTTGGAAGATGGGACGAGGAACTGTATATAGGAAAATGGTGTCAGCGTGCACTTAGCTGCAGCCTGTTAGATGATACGTGTCAATGACGCAAATTAGGCTGTTGGGTTTAGAACGCAGAAGGGGGTTAGATATTTGCGGGGGTGGAAAGGGGGGGAGAACCGGGGGGAGGGGAGGAGAGGGGGAGAAGGAAAGGGTATAAGGAGAAGGCAGAGTGTTTATAAAAGAGGCGAGGAGAGGGTATATGTAGGAATCGCGAGTTAACAGTATGGTTAGATGGGAGGAGACCGAGTGTCGGGAGGAAATCCCCTGTATTTCCAAATACAGCATAGCTCGCTCCTCTTGGTTCTTCCCTGTGGCGCCTAAATGTCACGTGTATTCATTCAGCATGCTATGACTAGAACACAGCGAACCCGACTACACTGCAGCAGTCTCACCTCCATGGCTTCTGCTTCCTCGATAGTCCCTCCCACGCCTCCCTCCTGCCCGCATCCACCCTACTCCGCACTGTCTGACTTCACCACCACCACTGCGCCATTGCAGCCCATGTCTCTGCCGTGCTTCCCGGCTGTGTGTGGTGTCAGCGTGCCCTACCTCGCCCTACCCGTCGGCATGCGCTTGCTTGTAGTAACTCATTTGCATTTCCATGGAAAGCATAACATCCCCGCATGGCCAGCATGCAACGAGCAATGTGCAGCTAGCACGGCTTCTACCACCTCACTCTTTTCCCCCACGCATCCCTGCTCACCAGCGATGATCACCAACTTCTTGCATGATCGCACTCTCGTGGCTCTGCCATGCTGCCAGTGCAGCGATGAGTTGGGCACCTCATGACTTGTTCAATGAAGGTGCTGCTGGTGTGGAAAGGGGAGGGGGGTTGGGGGGAGAGCGCACAAGGAAGGTGACTGCTTTGGGGCGAGGAGGACGGAGGTGGACAACAGCAGGTAATGATGGTGTTGCATAATCAATGGGTCCCAAACGCAAGGGACAGGAAAGAAAACAGAAGCAAACTCGGTGGGGATAATGTGGGGGTCACGAGGTGGTACCTTGCAACGGTACCTGTGATGATGCCATATGCCACGCAAGAAGATGGTCAGCTTCTCCTGCTGGTTTCCCATGGTGGCTAAACCACTACTGCTTCAACCACAAATGCATTGGTGGAGCATGGCAGTACTGGTAAAGATCGGGACAAGTGGCATGGCTGCAGCAATTGAAGTGTTGGCTTTAGAGAGCAGAAGAGGGTTGGGGGGGGAATGGGTGTTGCAGGGAGGAGGGGGAAGCGATGAAAGGGGGAGAGGGGAGGGGAGTGAGAGACAATTAGGGGAGAAGGGAAACGGAAGGGGATTGGGTGAAAATTAGGATTTTTTTCGGAGAAGCAAGCAGGGGATATATGTTTAAAAGCGAAGTCAGAATGCGGAAGGGTGGAGGGGTGTGGCGGTTCTGCAGGTATGAATCATGATGATGGTGGTGGAGACACATGACATGTGGCACCACAGTGCAGAAAAAACAGAGATTCATCTTACATGAAGACGTGCATAAGAAGTGTGCGCGGTGAGGGAGGAAGGGGAGAATGAAGTGAAATCATGGTGATCTTTTGAAGAGCACGTTTTCGGGTTGAACACACTCTCTGAGCCATATGCCTGCACCTCATCAGTCTTCATTGCAACGCGCGAGTTAGCCCCACTCTGTCACAATAGCACATCCACGGAGTCTCTTCGTGTCATGCCTCCCTCTTCCTGTCATGCCTCGCTCTTCCTGTCATGCCTCGCTCTTCCTGTCATGCCTCCCTCTTCCTGTCATGCCTCCCTCTTCCTGCCATGCCTCGCTCTTCCTGTCATGCCTCGCTCTTCCTGTCATGCCTCGCTCTTCCTGTCATGCCTCCCTCTTCCTGTCATGCCTCGCTCTTCCTGTCATGCCTCCCTCTTCCTGTCATGCCTCGCTCTTCCTGCCATGCCTCCCTCTTCCTGTCATGCCTCGCTCTTCCTGTCATGCCTCCCTCTTCCTGCCATGCCTCGCTCTTCGTGTCATGCCTCCCTCTTCCTGTCATGCCTCCCTCTTCCTGCCATGCCTCGCTCTTCCTGTCATGCCTCGCTCTTCCTGTCATGCCTCGCTCTTCCTGTCATGCCTCGCTCTTCCTGTCATGCCTCCCTCTTCCTGCCATGCCTCGCTCTTCCTGTCATGCCTCGCTCTTCCTGTCATGCCTCGCTCTTCCTGTCATGCCTCGCTCTTCCTGTCATGCCTCGCTCTTCCATGCCTCGCTCTTCCTGTCATGCCTCGCTCTTCCTGTCATGCCTCCCTCTTCCTGTCATGCCTTCCTCTTCCTGTCATGCCTCGCTCTTCCTGCCATGCTTCCCCTCCTGCCCACCTCCTCCTTCCCCCGCTGACCCACTTCACCGCCACCACTGCTCATGCTGCGGCCAGCGGCTCGACCATGCTACCCAGCAATACTGCAGTGAGGGTCCACGCTGTCTCCAAGCTCACTGGTGGTCGAGATAAATGGTCCACACACGGTTAGTACAGGACAGGTGGTGTTGGTTGGGGAAGTTGAAGGGAGTGGGTGGAGTCGGGGAAAGGGTGACGAGGGCCAGGGCGTACTGCTGAACAAGGAGGATGATAGTTGATTGGCACTGCACAAGAAAGCAGTTCTCTGATTCATCCTTCCATCAACAATGTATACGTGGCAGGAAGGCTTGAGCAGTAGCAGTGGATGGCAGAAGGGAGATAGGGTGAAAGAATGATTCAAATATCCCAACTGGGTTTCTCTCACCTCGGCGTTGCCCCCCCATGCTTGCCGTCTGCTGAGAAGCAATGGGGTATGTCACTGATGAGATACCACGACTCGTGAAAATGATTGCGACTTCCTTCTGGGTTTCACCCACCACGAATCAGTGAAGCATGGGAGCATTGCAGCATGGGAGCATTGCAGCATGGGAGCATGGGAGCATGGGGACATGGGAGCATGGGAGCATGGGAGCATGGAAGCATTGCAGCATGGAAGCATTGCAGCATGGAAGCATTGCGGCATGGAAGCATTGCAGCGTGGTTTCAGCATGCCAGTGAATGGACACGCAAGGAACTGAGAAGGGAGAACTGGACAGTATGGGTGGGCGATGTAACAGCATCCATAATGCTGCCCTTCACTCATGCAGACACAGCCCTACTTCCTTCTGCTTCACTTCTGCCCTCCCCCCAAGCATCATGCCCTGCCTCCAAGACCCAGGCAGCACACAATGCACTTGAGCATCCTATGTGAGATGAGACAACGTGTAAAGAATTAAGCATCCTCTCACTGTTCAAGAGACGATCTCATCGATAAAGGGCTATCGCGTTGCATTACACACATTGCAGTCAAGCTTATCTAGGAAGGAATGCCTGCCCTTCCATGCTGTCCTATCTTGCCTAAAGGGGCCACGCAAGAGGTGAGATTGGGAAATGTCAACGCTGCAGCATGCCACCCAGCCCAGCCAACCAACACAATACCCTCCAGCAAGCCGCTGAATCTTTGTGCATACCCCCTGCAGTGCAGAGTCCAATGATGTACACCCCTACTACTCCCACTCCTTGCACACTCCTGCATGTACTCCCCCCTACTCTTCACACCCCTTGCCTCCACGTGCCTCTCCTCCAAGCAGTCATATTCAACTTTGCTCTCACGTGTATCCGTCCCATCCGTCATCCCCTGCCCACCCTACCGCCCTATCCACCTGCGCAGCGACATAGGGAACATAATTTCCATTCGGCAGTTGGAGAGTTGTCAGCATGGTCAGGACAGTCAGCTGCTGCAGCCCATCATCTGTGACTGCCGTGCTACCCAAATCAAGCCTCTGAAGCCCTGTCAGCGTCCTCACATGCACCATGCCAACATTGGACACACCCTTGCATCCAGAAATCCCCAGCACTTTGAGAGAGGGCAGAGCTGTCACGAGCAGCAGACCAGCATCGGTCACCTTGGTTCTCATGAGATAGAGCTCCTTGAGTTTGGTCAAGGACCCAATGTTTTCCAAGGCATTGTCTGAGATGTCCGCATCGTTGAAGTTTAGCATCTCCAGCCGTGGCAGCCTGTAGAGGTGCTTGATGCCCTCTTCACTGAAGCCTGAACTTTTGTACAAGCAAACGCTCTTCAACTGGGTCATGGTGGCCACGTGGCAAAGGATGGCGTCTGAGAGGCCACTAAGATTTGCCAGGTTCAGATCGGGTCCTCGTGATGCTGCCTTGATTCGCTGGAGGGTGATGGATGAAGAGGGATTGAATGACAAGAGAAAAAATGTTCGTCGTGACAATACCAAACACTGCATGCCCTATCATTTGGTGAAACAAATCACTCAACACTCACCTCCCATGCAGTCTTTTGATGGTCGTAACTCTCACATATTTCCAACTCGACATTTTGCCGTTTCCTGCTGGCTGCCAATTCCTCCATGGCACGTGGCCAATTCAGCTCCTGCACCTCCCTCCTCCTCTCCTCCCTCTCCTTTGCCAACTCCGCTCTCATTGCATCCTCTCCCTTTTTAACCTCTCCTCTCAGCTCCCTCAAATATGATTGTCTTCTTTTCTCAGCGATATCCAGTTGCTCTGCCGTACCACCCTTGTGTTCAGCCAGCTCTCCCTTAACTGCAGTCAATTCCCTGTTCACTCCAGTCACTTCCCCCTTCACTCCAGTCAGTTCCCCCTTCAATCCAGTCAGTTCTCCCTTCACTCCAGCCAATTCCCCCTTCACTCCAGCCAATTCCCCCCCCTTCACTACAGTCAATTCACCCTTCACCGCTATCAACTCTCTCCCCCTCTCCTCCAGCACAGCAGCAGTCACCGCACTCCTCTCTCCCACAACACCCAGTGCACGCCTCAGCTCATTCACCTCGTTTTCCAAATCCCGGTTTCTCTCATCCAGCACTGCCACTCGCTCCTTCTGTCGGGCCACCTCCTCCCTGACCACTACCAGCTCCCCCCTCAATGCTGCCAATTCCCCTCTCACTAATCCGAACAGTCCATTTACTGCCTCACTTGTCACACTTGACTCGTTCTCTGTAGCCATAACTGCAGCTAAATTCCAGCCTCCTCCCTCTTTCTGCAGAATGCTTAACGTTGATGGCACTCTGGCGTGTCAAAATCGTTCGGAGATGAATGCATGAAGGTAAACAGGGAAAGACCACGCACACAAAAAGAAAGGAGCAGGAGGGGGCAGGCATGAGAAAATGGCCAGGCGGGTATCGGGTCAGTTCGGGTCGGGCCAGAGTTTTCAAAAACTACCTGACCCTTCCTGTGGGAGTCGGGTTTAGCCTGACTCGGGGCTGGGTGAGGTCGACGGGTCGGGTCGGGACTCGGGTACAGTAAACCCGCCCTCCCTAGGCGCCCAGATTATGTGTGAGCACTACAAATTTTGGAGCCCAAAGCGCCCTAAGCAAAACCGAAACCCTTAAACGGCGCCATCGCTTAGTATAGAGAGCTAAGGGGGTTTCTACGCCTGATTACTAACGTCCTAGGGTTCCTAGGCTGTAGGCATCGATTAGGTTGCGGAATGATGTGGAGGGGGGAATTGTCCCTCGACATTGAGATCGGGGTTTCCAACTGTCGAAATCGGCTCGGGTCAATACCCGACCCGTTTCCCTGTTATTTTATTCGATATCGGGGCGGGTCAAAGTCGGGTCAAAACCCGACCCGATCCGACCCGGCCAGGCCAGGCCAATGAAAACCTTGACCCCACCCGGGCAAAATCACGGCTCGGGTCGGGCCTCATCGTGCCTACAGGAGAGGAGGTGCCATTCAACCAAAGTAGACATGAGCCAACTGTACCTCGCCTAGTTTAACCTACTACAATTGGTCCAGACTAAGGCCTTGCCTTGTCCGAACGGCTCAACTGAGGCGACCATCTCTCATGGAGTAAAATTATTTACTCCGCCAAAAAGGCGAGAAAGGAAGGAATTTACTCGCGAGACAGCTTTTCTCTTGATTTAAACCCCAGCGCGACTTTCCAGAGGAGGTCGTGCAAATGAACTCGCTTGACTCGTCAGGGTACCTTTCAGGTGGGGCAGGGTATGTAGGTTCCCACATGGACATGGGAGGGGGCATGGTGGATATTTCGAGTATTACTTGCCTCACCAGCTCGTGACTAGAGGCTAGAGCTTGGTAGAGAAAATGCGAGCTATCATAACTCTAGCAAAATCACGAGCTCCAGCGTGGATTAACGGCCACACTTTGAGGACAGCAAAAATGAAGGGATATGTATGTGGTGACGACAATTGTGGCAATATTGTCATCACAAACATGTCACTTTCTTATTTTGGCAATGCCTATGTTCAGTCAACTCACACGTCACATGTCAGTAAATACCCTCTTGGCAAAGCTTGCCTTAAAACGAGCGTCGACGTATGACGCCTCCATGCATGCTTACTGAGCTTCCTCTTTGCACTAAGCTCTAGGAATGTGGAATTGAGATAGCCGAGAGCTTATGCACTGCGCTTCTCCACTTTGCGACACAGAGACGGAAAAATGAGATAAACAGAGAGTATGACATCAGAATGGGGGGGGGAGAAGGGGTCCTTTTTCGAGTTGGGAGGCCGGTCGTTTTCGATGGTTGATGAGGTGAAATTCACACTACCCTGCTTCCCGGCAGTTTACCATCAGTTGCACAGGGTTTGTTCCTGCAGATTGTCGAAAGCCATTCTAGTCGTTTTCACCCCCCCCGTCTCGATCCTTATTTACCTCTGTTTACAGACAGGCACTGTACAGGTGGACCACAAACCATGGTTTACGTGGCAATTCTGGTTGGGTGCTTACAAGCGTCTTCATTGGTCTTCTTTTCTCAGACACAAACGGGAATAGATCGCGAGATGTGTGGAGTGCTTGCCAACCAACACTTCACACCCTGACTCACCTTCGCGTGGAAATGTTTGAAGATTCTGGCCACGTCATCTCAGTTTCGGTTGCTGTTGAAGAGACATAATAGTAACATGTTACACACCTCATTTTAAGAGTTGTGTCTGTTATTTTCTTTTTAAAATGTGAGATTAGCTAGGGATTAAAAATAAGTGACGTGGGGATCAACTCCAGCCCACTTAGCCGTGTGTATTAAGGGTTCTAAACAAACCTTTATTAGGGCTCAGCCACAAATGTGGGGGGTCTGATATCGCGTACCACTGTCTATTAAAATATAACATGTTGACTCTAATGAGAGCATTGTATATATTTCTAAACCCATAAACATTGTGGTTACGTTTATTAGAGCACTATAGCAGAGAATTACCAACAAGGATATGCATGCGCGACACGTGGCGCATGTTTGTGCATTTGCTGGCCCGAATCTGTGCAAGGATAGGCCTGCGCGCAACATGTCAGCTCGCCAACATATGGATGCCTTTTTTACCACTATTTCTTCACACTGTTCCCTACTACATCCTATTCCCTAGCCATAGGAACTGGTTTGATCTCGTTAGCACAACTACGCAGCACGTGGCGCATGTTTGTGCGAATGCTGGTATGAATCTGTGCAAGGATAGGCCAGTGCGCAACATGTCACCT